CAACACGTATTGAATTTTGATCAGTTGCCTAGTAAGTAATATGCCATATATAACATACATACATATATATATATATATATATGTATCTTCTTTTCTGCTCGCTTTGCTCTTACATTGATTTAAAGTGCAGAGCTAATTTAGCAGCTATTGATTTTGTGCCACAGCACAAATTGTATCTTTGTCTCGGTCTCTGTATCTGTATCTCAACAGCCGCAGTGGCAACAGCAGATGCGTATCTGCAAACAATTAAGAAATTGTTAAACGAATTTTTTCGAAAATTTCCCAAAGTCGACTCCATATCCATTTCCTGAACTCCCACCCCCAACTACAGTTATTTGGCCGGGGCACAGTAGCAACTCCTCCTCCTTCGCATGTATCTGTGTTGGCATTTGTATCTAGATACGAATGTATAGTTACAAACGTTCCGAGTGGAGGGTTACACGCACACACACACACATACATGTGTGTGTCTACTTATATATATATATATATATATATATATGTGTGGCATTACTTTGTAGGTTTTTGTGTGTAATTCTATTAGTTGCAAGTTGTGTTGTGTAGAGTAGAGTGTGTGGCACACACTCTTCTCTTTTGACGCAAACAGCCAACGACAACCTCAATGAAAGCAAATTAAAAAACTTTTGCCCCCTGTCAAACGAGGGGCAAGTGAGGGGCACAATGGCGGGGGCAGCGGGTTGTGGCAAACAAATGGTAGCTGCCCCTTTTTTATTTTTATTTGTATTTTGAAAATCGTTTTTCGTTTTTTAAACGAAATTGAGTGCAACTGTTTTTGTGAATTTTAGCTACTTTTTGCACTTGCAACGTGCAACGTGCAACTAAATGAAAACGAATGAATGCTGATGCTGATGATGATGATGAAGCTGGCAAAGAATTGAGCGCTAATTTAAGCATTACTTTAATTAAATTCTTTTCATTTACTTCAATTGCAATTACCTTTGCAGAGACCATTTCTTTTCAACTTTTGCTACATTTTATTTTGGTAATCAAATTGCTGCAAAGTATTTCGTAGCCAAGAGCCAATTATTCAAGTAATTGTAGTTTAGATATTTAAATATTTAAAGAATTTCCAAAGTAGTTGCTATTATCAAATAGTAAAAGAGCTTTACAGAACATGGAAAATAAGACAAATAAATGCCTTATTGCGTAGTAAGAACAAGTTAAAGTGTTCTAGTCGAGAGAGCTCGCTGGAACCCAACTTTAAGAAAACTAATCTGATTATATATAGATCTTTTATGAAGTTGGTGTTGCATTCCTTTGCGACACAGATCATACCTGAAACAAATTTCCACAACAGTTTTTGATATTAGATTTTAACGCAAAAACCCTCTCCCGAAGGTAGCTCATAGCTTCCTGCAGACAAAGTCGACAGCCTTTTCTGTGTATCCTTATGCATATGTTGCATCTTAACGCTTTCTGTTACCAACACTTGCAGTAAACTTATCTCGCTCAGCTCACTTAGACAGCGCTTTTGGTAGCACTTGAGAAGTTGAAACTGAGGCTGAGGCTGAGGCTGAAACTGAAGCTGAGCTTGCAATAAATGCTAAAAACAAAAGCAAAAAAGAAAAACCACGCAGAGAATGTGCCTAGGATATTGTCTATATATATATGTGTGTGTGTGTGCATTTGTTACCCTTCAATTTGATGCACAAGCATGCCGTCATTTAAGCAGACAAACACTCCGCAAAACTGACGCACTGTCAGACAGACAGACAGACAGACACAGACCAACAGCAGAACTACTTCATGGACTGCCAGAGGACGGAGGGAATGAGTTGTTGTCTGCAATGCGAGACGCATTTGTATTTTTGTTTTATATATATATATATATATATATATTATATGTCTTTTATATATATACACACACACACATAACATTAATGTGGAGAAAAAGAGAGGGAAAATGAAATAAAAAAGAAATGATTTATCACTTTGAGAGTTACGTTTGCTCAGTTGACTTTGACAGGCCGCCGACTGCGTGCAGCTCCCTCCCCGCACTCCCTTACCACTCTCCCTCTCTCTCTCTCTCTCTCTCACTCACTCACACTGTCTCTGTCTCTGTCTACCCCCTCTCTATCACGGAGTCTTTGCTGCGTGAGGATTACAAAACAGCAACTCATGTGCATGATGAATTAAATTAGCAAAAAAGAAACAAAAACAAAAAGCACTGAAAAATACCTCTGAAAATTTGAAAAGGCAGCCAACATCATAATCATTTTGATCGTCATCAACGAGCCCAATCATCTTTATGGCAAACTGAGCATTGTTTAATACAAAACCTGCCCCAATATCATCATCATCAAGCTCAACATCGCTTAATTCATTACAGCACTCAGTCTGATTGTAAAACGGGTTCTTCCATCTTCCATCAAACACCTGAAAGAGAATTTCTAATTTTACCAGCATAATAAGAAAGAAGTTTGGAAAAGAATCTCTATATTTACAAACCAAGCTGAAAATGAAAATTACCCACATCATCAGTCGGAAAAAAATACACAGAGTTGTTTTTTTAGTTTTTAAAAAAAGGTTTTTCTTCATTTTTCATTTTGCATGTGTTCGCTTGCGAAACAGAAAAATATCTTTGTTTTGTTGTTTGTCGTACATAGATGTATATAATAGTTACCTATATATATGTATATATAGATCAATATATAAATAGTTATTCACAAGAATTTGAATTATTCATAGAGTACATTATATATATATAATGTATATGTGAGAGGGGCATTAAATTATAACTTAGAACATAGCATTTTTCTTTATGTGGTATTTGTTTATGTTACAAAATAAAAAATAAATAACAGTTTTGGGCTTTCATACTGGTACAAGTGTTTGCTTCTTTATCTTCTCGCTCTATCGCTCTTGCTCTATCTATTTAGCTTCTGCCAACTCTTTCCAACACTGCTGCTGCTGCTGCTTCTTTATATATAAATATGTTAGCTTAATTTGCTTGTGTTGCGTTTATTTATTTATTTGCTTGTTTGCTAAAAATTTGTTGACGAGTATTCGAGTTGAGTTTATGATCCAAAATATTACACATACATATAAGTATTATTTTTGCTTTGAAATAAATGCTTTAAGTGTTGGTAAGTTGCTTTCGTTACTTGCTATAGGCAGTTGTTAAACATTTACTCGTGTGTTGGTAAATACCATATGCTATATATATATATATGCATATTTCATGTTTATCTCATTTATAGTTTTATATAATATCAGTTAGTATTTTTTAGCTTTATGTTTTTACAGTCACATATATATTTATATATATTTAGTATATTTTCTTCTTTGCATTATGTATTTATTTATATTGTGTATACGCCATGTAGTTTTATATATTTTCTTTCTTTCTTTTTTTTGCTGTAACCCATCTATTATTATAATTTCTTGAATTATTATTATTATTACAATATTTTGGTAAGCGTAAGTGTTTAAAATGAGCTTTACTGCATAGTTAGTTTTTTTTACTTGTATTTCCTTTTTTTAAGTTGTTTACGTTTGCTAGCTAATTGTTGAATGCATCATTTTTACACAAGTTTCACTGTATATATGTGTGTGTAAGTGTGTGTGTGTGTGTGTGTGTGATTATTGAATTAATTGTAGGAGACTACGTATTTGCAGTGGCATTTACTTATAATTAGGCATACATAACTATTTTAGGCATATCAAGTTATTATTTATTTTCCATTCTGTATTATTTACAAGGAGTTGCAGCACAAAGCGAGAAGAGAGAGAGAAGAGAGAGGAGAGAGAAGAGGGAGAGAGAGATAGCAGAGCAATAAATTATCTTTCAATTAAGCAAATTAAAGTCAGAAATGCTTCTATTAAAATTAGTGGCATAAATCAAGTCAAGTACAAATGTATCTGGTATCTTTTTTGTTTTAAGGGAATGACATTTACAGATACGAAATCAAAGCAAAAGTTCATCAAGAGCAGTTCATAAATCTTAAGCTTCTTTCGGATTGTTTATTTGTTATTGTTGCTGTTGCTGTTGTTGTTGGTCTAACTGATTAAAAGCATATTAAGAAGTTAGCTGGAGAAAATGCACTAAACGCATTTGCTGCAGCCAAGCGAGGAGGAAAATGAATGAAAATGCCCCGCTGCCTGCTGCTGCTGCCTGCTGCTGTTGCTGCTCTTGTTGCATGGAGTAAAAGTTTGCCACAAACTGGCGGGAGAACTTTTGGGAAACTTCTTCGCTTGCTCAGCTGCTCGAGAAAAACATACAACTTGACATTGCCAAGGCGGCGACTACTCCCTCCTGCCTCCCCTCCACACACTCATTCTATTCCTACTGTTCGTCCCCCTCTGAGCACAATTCATGCTCCACATGCGACTTGTTACATAAACAAAACAAACAACACACAGCACAACAACAACAACACTCAAACAAATGCAATTGTATTTGTAGCTTGTATCTTTTAGTGTGTGCGTGTGTGTGTGTGTGTGTGTGTTTAATGTACTTGGATTTATGTTTGTACAGTGCACTAAAATGACTTTACACTGGGTAAACAAAATATTTGTTACGCTACGCTCACTTCCTGAATGTGGCTCGAGAGGCAAAAGGGCTGCTGAGGGTCTACAGAGGGGGTGGTGGCAGGGGGGCAGGGCTGGTGTGGGAAGAGGAGGTATATGTATGTGTGTGTGCACAACTGAAATTTTGACTTGCACTGTTTTTAGCTACACAGATTTTTATTTAATTCACTCAGTTTATGCACTTGAAAAAAAAGTAGAGAATTTTGATTTAAGCTGAATTTAAAGGTTTTCTTTGCAGTAAAATTAAATGCGAAAAAAAGAATGATTCGAGTCAAGAAATAGGAATTTAAACAAATGCAGAATTGCCAAAAGTTATGAAATTGATAGATAAATATAGAGCCAACAAACTAAGCTTTAAATATATAGTTAAATTAAAGAATTAGAAATTATTAGTGGCATTTTTCTTGTATATTAAAATAAAAATAGAAAAAATATTTGTATGAAATCAATTTGTGAATGTTTTTTTAAATTTAAATCAATTTAAATATGTTTTTTTGTCTGTGTAGCAAGCTGACTGTCATATTTTCACTCTCTCTCTCTCTCTCTCTCTTTCTGTCTCGCTCTCTCTCTCTCTCTCACACTCTTTTGCTCTCTTTTGCTGTCTCTTTCTCTTAATTTTAGCTCGCACATATTTTAGTAATTAAAATGATGCACCAGGAACCAGTCCCTATAGAAATCACTGTCACTGTCTGCTGCTGCTGCTGCTGCTGCTGCTGCTGCCCGAGGTGGACACACACAGGAGTCCAACTCTGACTCCAGCTCTGACTCCAACATCGACTATGTCTCTTTACCCACTCGCCCCACTCTCGCCGTCTATACGAGGTATGCCTGCACATGTGGTCCCTGTTGCTGGCCAGAAGCAGAAGAGGAAACACTCGCCTGCTGCTGATGCTGATGCTGCTGCTGCTGATGCTGCTGCTGCTGATGCTGTTGCTGCTGTTGAGGATTCACTTTGAGCGCCGTTGTGGGATTCAGTGTGCCCGCATGTGCCGTTTGCAACTGCTGCTTGGCCTGTGGTCGCCAGGTTTGTGCACGTTGCGCCTCGATTGGGGGCAGCGGTGCAGCAGCAGCAGCAGCAACAGCATTTGCTCCGGCTGGCATCATCAGCATATGCTGCTCGTTGTCCAGCGTGGAGTAGTCCGAATCGATGCTCGAATAGATGTGCTCCGAGGGGGGACGCATGCCACCATGATGCTGATAATACTGTGCATGCAAATGTTGCTGCTGCTGTTGTTGCTGTTGATGATGATGCTGTCCACCTGCACCCGCTGACGATGTTGCACAATCGCCGCCACTGCGTCGTTGTGGTCGTGGACTGGGCGTGGCTGTCGTAGCCGTGGAATAGTTCTGCTCAGCAGCAACAGCTGCTGCTGCGGCAGCTGCCTCCGCCGGACCACAGTACGCAGGCGGCGGTGCCTGACGATAGAGCAGACCCGGACTCGCCGGCTGCTTGATGCGCTCGTGATTGTGGTCCAGCGTGTAGTTGTTGCCCCTGTATGTGGGATAGTCCACGGGCAGAGCATAGCGCAACTTCTCCCAGAAATGGCGATCGGTGCGTCGAATGCGATGCACCGCCGACGTCTTCAGATACGGCAACAATTCGATGTCGCTCTCCGCCTCGAAGGCCACCTCGGGCTCCTCGATGATGACCAGCTTCTGTGGACGGCCGCGCAACGCGTCGTGCAACGATCTGCGCAGCTCGCAACGTGACCATTCCGTTTGCAGAAAATTACGCGTCAACAAGATGACAACTCGCCGCGAGACGCGACTCGCCTCGAGCAGCTGATAATGTGTGGCATCGTGGCCCAAAGTGAGATCCCGATGCTGCAAGCAGACACGCAACGCAGGACGACCCGTTTCCAGTTCGCTGGCCAAATGCTGGCAGACAAACTCCGAGTCCTTGGCCGAGTGCAGCAGCAGTGCGTCGTACAGCTTCTCCGACTCCTCGCAACGTGGCCCAAACACTCGGACGCCGTAGTGGGCGAACAGCCAAATCCTCAGCGATTCGCGGAACACAAACACCATGATGACGACGACGAGCAGAAAGACGAGGGCCAATGCTGCCGCCAGCAGTGGTATATACGATTCGGGTATGCCGTGTTGCAACATCGAGCCACCCGAATAGTAATCGGTGCATGCCGCACCGGTTGCATTGAAGTCCAGCTCACGTTTCTGGGTGGCAAGTTGATCGCTGCTGCTGCCAGTGCCGCTGCCACTGCTGCTCTGCTCGTAACCATTTGTGGCACCTGCATTTGGGGCAGCCATGCAGTAAATATCCTGTGCATCCTGCACAATCAGCGCATTCTCTGCCACATACGAGGTCAGCGCCTGGAGGAATTGACAACGACAACTCCATTGATTCCTCCCCAAAGATATGGCGCGGAGACGCTGGCCAAAGTGTGTGGCATGCAGCTGCCAGATGGGCAGTGTGACCAGTCGATTGCCATCGAGACGCAACACCTCCAGCGATGTCAACGGTGCCAACGTGGCATTCTCAATGTTCGCCAGCTGATTATTATGCAGATACAGTTCCCGCAACGCGGACAACTGTTCAAATTCGTAGCCATGCAACGTCTGCAACCGATTGTCGGATAGTTGCAGCACTTGCAGTGTGGCCAGACTGGCAAACGTGCGATTCTGTATGGCTGCCACCTGACTACCATTCACATACAAAGCTTTCAGATTCTTGCGTCCAATGAACGCGTGATTCTTCAAGACGGGGAAATTGTTGCCGTCCAAGTAGACAATGCTGGAGTCCATGGGGACGCGACGTGGCAGCTCCATGGTCAGCTGATTGCCACAGTCGACGACATTGGTCGACCAGATCTGGTCGTGATAGCAGGTGCAGTTGTGGGGACAGGTCATCTCGCAGTCGCACGCATCGAAATCACAGCAGTGGCACAGGGCAAAGCAATGCGATTCGTAGCGACAGAGGAAGTCCTGGGAACGCAACGCGCTCAGCGGACGCACGGTGGCGCCACGCGCATGCGGCATCACACACTCAATGTTGGGCATGTCCATGACACGCGGATGTTGCCGTGTCGTCAAATTGTTGATGCGCTGCAGCCAATCCATGGTGCAATCGCATTCGAACGGATTGCCGCCCAGATAGAATTCGGGCAGTGGTTTGGGTGCCACAACCGGTGCAATGCGCAACTGTTGCAGCTGCAACTTACTCAACTGGTTCGCATACAGATCGACGCGTGCCAGATTCGACTTGTCCACAAAAGCATTCGCCAGCACATTGCCAATCAGATTGTTATTGATGAAGAGCAACTCAATCGTGTTTGGGATCGACATGGGTCCAATTTCAGTGATTCGATTGTGGCTGGCATCCAGTGTCTTCACCCTAATCTCCTCCTGCAACTTGTAGTAGTTGCCCAGCGCCTCGATGTAGTTGCCATGTATATCCAACCACTTCAGATTCGATGGAATAAATGCATAGTCGAACCACACCAGATGATTCTCGGAGAGATTCAGCCAGAGCAGGGAGACCAGCGTGGCAAACACTCCATTGATATCCGATAGGAAATTGCGATCCAATCTGATTGCCTCCAGTTCATAGTTCTTATCGAAGGCACCTCGCTCAATGCTCTGGATGCGATTCTTGGCCAGATTCAAGACGCTCAGGCGTGGCAAGTCCGCAAACATGCCAACTGTAATGTTGCCAATTTGATTATCAATCAGCCGCAAACCCGTCAACTGATGCAGATTCTTGAAGCTCTGATTGTCAAAGGTGCGTATTTGGTTCTCGCCCAAGTCGAGGGTGCGCAACATGGCCAAATCCTGCAGGGCACGTGGCACCTCATTCAACTGATTCGAACTCAGATCCAGTTCCTTCAAATCCGAGCAGTTCTTGAACACAGCCGGCTCCACAACACTAATCAGATTGTTGTTCAGCGTCAACTTGGACAACACATAGAGGCCATTGAAGAGCTTATCGTCCAAGGTGTGCAAGCGATTCTCGGCCAGATTCAAAGTGTGCAGATTGTACAAAGGCAAGAAGGCATTGTCCTCGATGTGTCCAATTGAATTGTTGCGCAAATTCAAAATTTGCAGAAAATACAGCTCCTTAAAAGTGCGATAATCGATGCGGGTCAAAGCATTGTGAGCCAGATTCAGGACAATCAGGCGAATCAAGCCGGCAAACGTTGTGTTATCCACATGATTCGAGGTCAGCTGATTGCCCGACAAGTCAACCACAAGCAACTGTTCCAGCCGATGGAACAGACCCTTGGGCAGCTCGTAGAGCTCGTTTTGCTGCAGGTGAATCTCTCGCAGTTCCTTGCTGCCAGCAAAGAGACCCTCGGGCAGCGTTTCCAGATGATTGTTGCTCAGATTCACAATGCGCAACGAGGCGAGGCCTGCCAACGCCTCGCCCGACAGCTCCGAGATGTTGTTGTGCTGCAGATTCAAGTGCTGCAAGCGTCGCAGCCGTGAGATGCCCCAGCTCTCGGTGATCGTACGCAACTCGTTGTGACTCGCGTCGAGCAGTTGCAACTCACTGCCGCTGCCACCGCCACCGCCACCGTTGCTGCTGCTGCCGCTGCCACAGTTCATGTCCGCAAAGCCCAATTGCTCCGCTGTCCTTATGCGATTCCTGGTCAAATTCAGTGTCTGCAAGTTGCCCACGGGGCACAGGAAGCCAGCTGGCAACGCTCTCAAATTGTTATCACTCAAATCGAGTTCCGTCAACTGTTTCAAACCATTCAGCGAATCCGGATAAAGTTCGAGTGTTTTGGATGGCGCCCAGTCGGCGTTCCTTGTGCTCAACGCGAGTGATTTCAGTGTGCTCAATCCCTCGAAGGCATTGTTGGGCAACTGCAGCAGTTTGCAGGATGCCACACGTAGCGTTTCCAACGTTTGCAGCCTGGCAAAGATTGCCACCGGCAACTGGGATTCAAAGAGATACAAATCACTGCATTTGATGGTCAGCTGACTGCTGCCATCGGCACCCTGTAAATCCAAGCCGGGCTGTCGCTCAATCAGTCGCAGTGCACAGTGCACCGCACTCGTCCCATTGTATGTCCAGGTGCATTGATTGGTGGGTCCGCTGTGTGCCGCTGGCGCTGGTGGCAATGAGGCAGCTGCCACTGGCCACTGGGTTGCGGCCAGCAGTGAGGAATAATCGCTGCCGCCCAGCATTGCATTGGTGGCACTATTGTCGCTGCTCGAGTCGGAGGAGGAGGAGGAGGAGGCGGAGCACCAGCTGGCATTGAGGAGCAGGATTAGGAACAGCCCAGTGGCGAGGAGCAGACGCAGCCTGAGCTCCATGCTTGGGGCGGGCAAAAGAAAAAAAGGGATTTGGTTTTTTTTTTGTTGGGGAAATTGATTTGTTTCAATTTATTATTTTATTTTTATATATTTTCAACTGCTCAGTTTTGTTGCATTTTTAACATTTTTGTTAGCTTGTTTTTTTATTTGTATTTATTTTTTTAGAACTTTACACAACACTGGGAATCGGGATTTTTAATTTGCATTTGTAGCTTTGCTTTTTATGCTTGCATTTTCACTTCACTTTGCATGTTTTCGTTTCTTTTACAAATTTCATTTACACTTTGCGATTTTTGCTTTTTCTTATGCTTATTGCTTGCTTTGCTTCACAATTTGTATTGTATATTATTGAAATTGAAATTTTGTGCGTGCTTCACACGTCCGTACCGTACGGCGCTCGCACTCGAACTGTTTGCTAGTTCGCTTAGCCAACTGCCCGCAGACCGATAAATGGATGGCCAAAATTCAACAACAGCCGAACAACAGTACAGAGCGAAAGAGAGTGAGAGCGCCAGCGACAGCGCGAGAGAGAGAGCGACGGTCCCGAAGGAGGCGCATGTTGAGGCTCGTCGGGTGGGTTTTTTGTTGTTGCCACAGCAGAACAACATAACCACGACCACAATGACGACGACGACGAAGAGAGAGCGCTCTCTCACACACTCGTACGCTTGCTCTCTCGCGCTGCGCTAGTTGCATTTGTGGCCGCTGCACGGCCAAATGGCGCTGGCTAAGCAGAGAGCGTGAGCGCAAGTTTTGAGTGACTTTTTTGAGTGGTTTTCGCTGTATTCGTGAATTGAATGTTAAATTAATGAATAACCAACAGATATATAAATATATAAATATATATACAAATAAAGTGGGGAAAATATATGAGACAACCTCTGTTTTGACAATGTATGCTATGAATAAATATGTTTTATTGCGAATTCAAAGAAACGCATTAAATACAAAACATGACAATTTGAAATTTAGCACATTTGTTGAATGTTTGCGGCTTTATTTTAGTGCTTTTAACCATAAATTATGATTTAAATAATAAACTAAAATTCTAAGACATATTTTTCTACATCTCATTTCATTCTTATCCCCAATCCAATTTTTCTTTATATTCAAATGAAATAAATTATAATCATTTTTGTCTTATTCGATTCAAAATTGTTTGTTTGACACTTTTTGCAATTTTAAACATTCGATTTATGCACTTTATTACAAAGCTCCTAATATATAAGTTATATACAAATTTTCTTATCATCTCTTTTTTTTATCAATCTCAACATTCTTTTTTCATTTTTATTATCAATCTAATTTTTTTCTTGCATTTCGTCACAGTAATTTTATTTATAAATTAAATTTATTCGCACACAATAATGTTGAGAGCGATTTATCTAAAACTTATTCAATTTTTCTTGTCTAATAATATAAATTATTTTTTATTCATTTTTATAATTATTTTTCTCATTTTAAGCATTTGTTTTATCCACTTTAAAAACTCTGACTTTATTATTCAACTCCACACAAAGTGATAAACATTATTTATCGCCAACTCTTTCTCTCTCTCTCTCTCTCTCTCTCTCTCTCTCTCTCTCTCTCTCTCTTACTCGGTTTGCCTCTCGCTCAACATCACTCAACACTCTCTCTCTCTTTCTTCGCTCTCTCTCTTTCTCTCTCTTTCTACTGTGCAATGCATTTTGTTTTGTTTTGTTATTGTTGTTGTTGTTGCTTTCAACTCACACGCGCCGCCATCAGTGGCAAGCAGCAAGCAGCGAGCGGCGAGCGGCAACAACATTGGAAGAAGACGCATCCGTCAGATGAGTTTCCTATTGCGAGTGTGGAGGCAACTTCTAATTGTTGCAGCTGCAATGCAAAGAGACGAGCCGCGTACTAGATAGGGGAGGGGAAGGGGCAGGCAGGCAGCGTGGCTTGGCAATTTTGTCAACGCTAAAAGATGTTTAACACATTGCTGGCAACAAGATACACACACACACATCTATCTGTATCTGTATCTGTATCTGTATCTGTATCTGTATCTGTATCTGTAGATACACTTAAACATAGGCTCAAGTGTGAGCTGAAAAAAGATGGAAAGAAATGAAAAGGAAAAGTTATTTTTGGCTGTGCATCGATTGTTTAAATGATTTCCCAAAGTATCTTTTACTGTTTGGGAATTTGTTGATTGTTTGTTTTTCCAGTGGTAAACCAAATGTTTAAGGCCAAGGCCAAGACTAGCCGAACTTCATAGAGTAGTTCAGTTCTGTCTGCCACACGGCGTGGCATTTGTAGATTAATTATTGATGCGATATATCACATAAATAAATGCATGAGAAGTGAGCAAAGTTTTAGCTCCAAATGCATTTATTATTCATGCCAACTTTTTCATTAGGCAACGCTGAGCGGCAAATGCGCCCACGCATGACCGGAAGATGCCACAGCTACCCACAGCTGCCCCTCCCCCTTGCACTCCTGCGAGGCAATCGTCGTCATTGGCAGCAAATCGACAAGAGCCCAAAGCGAATTACCAAAGGTGCAACAAGCACCCAAAAAAAGAAATTGACTGCCCCTTCCCCTGCCTCATCTCTCTCTCTCTCTCTCGTTGTCTCTGTTGCTGTAACTAAGTTAGTCAACCTGCCCACTCCCCCTGCTCTTCTCTAAACTCTTGGAGAAGACAAAGTCGCCAACACATTGGCATTGTTTCAGTTTCAGTTTCAGTTTTCCTTCTTTTTATTTCGGCTGGTGGTGCAAAGGTGTCGGAAACTTGTTCAACTTGTTTCCATTTAACTATTATCCCCCCTCCAACCCTCCACATGTGTGTGTGTGATTGTAAAAATAGCAACAAGGTTTGAGTGCTGCCTCATATTGAGGCATGTGCATGTGTTGCTGCTGCTGCTGCTGTTTTGATTCCTGTTGCTGCACAGGACATCGATTGTTATCAGTTGGCCACAACAAAATAAAAACAGTTTGTTATCAACTAGTTAGCTGTCTTAAGCAAGGCCTTATCTCTTATCAGTTGAGGCAGATTAAAAAAACAATCAAAATGTTGAGTCTACTTTTATCAAAACTAAAACTAACCAACATATTTTCAATTATTTCCAATATTTTTTGGAGTGATTTACTCCAAGTTTTCTCAGATACAAGTTAACTCAGCAACGGGCAGACAGAAGGACAGACAGCCATATAATGCCTGATGCTGATCAAGAATATAAATACCTTTCAATGCATGACAGAATAGTAAAACCCATCAATTTGTATCAAAAGATTATCTAGTAACAGTTGATGCAGTCATAAAAATACCTTAAAATATATTAAAAATAACATTAACAAAAACTGAAAAATTCTTTTGTTAGCTAAGCAAAAGTCTAAAAATAAAATTGATATAAAATATGCCATTATCAAAAACTGAAAAGTTCTATTGCTTTAAGTTGAATGTTTTTTAATCTGTAGTTTTGTTTCCCATAAATGCTCTTCTGGCTAATAACCAACAGATCTTCAAGCAAATTGTCTTCTGTCTGAGCTTCAACTCTAAATTCCAATTTGACAAATTTCTTGAAATAAAAAACAAATATTGAAATAAACTTTTTAATGGGCATCTTCTGCTTGAACTGTTAACTTGCTTGCTTTGAGTATCACATATCACTTACAGCATACAAATAAATATGTTTTTATGAATATGTAAGCCCATCTGAGTAGATTTTTATTAACAATGCCAATGAACTCCGGAGACTCTGGCAATCGCAACAATTGCTGCTATCTGTTATCAAGAGTCTCAAGTCCGGCAGCCCACCAAGAAGCATCCGTATCTGTGTCTGCAGCCCAAGAAGAGTGCCTCAAACTAAACTGTTTGTAGTTAAAGTTACAACTTGGGGCAAAGACAAGACGAGGACAGCAGTCGAAGTCGAAGGTTATCAGCTGTCACTCTCTCCCCTCTCTCTCTCTCTCGTGTCTCTCTCTTGTCTCACTCTTTCTCTATTTTGACAGCACTTAAATATAAACTCTTCTGTGGTTTTGTATTTCAATTTATAGATCATATTTAATGGCTGTGTTTGCTGTTATGGGCACCAACAATACAATTTAAATGTGCATTAAATTGCGTAATAAATTTAACAGCTGATGATAAAAGACTTTCCCTCTCTCTCTCACTCACACTCTCTCTCTCTCTCTCTCTCTCTGTTTGCATATATAATTAGAGATGCCGACAAAGTTTAATTACCAAAAGTGCGACAAACGTGACGCAAATATTTCGATTAAAGGCGCCACATTGTGTGGCACATCCCAAAGCGATTCCAATTCAATGGTGCACAGCACAAGCTCGATTCCGGTTCGGTTCGGTTCGATACGGTTTGGTTAGGTTTTGGTTCCATTATCAAGTTCAGTGCAGCAACAGCAGCCGCAGAATCCTCCGCCTCCAGAAGCAAACAAAAAAAAAAGATGAAGGGAATTTGTCATGAGGCAAACAAAACATTGTGCAACTGGCAAATGTTGCACAGCCACAATGTGGAAGATATAAAATATGCCCACAAAAAGGCTGGGCCAGTTTCACGACTGGACAGCGGACAGCGGACAGAGGACAGCGGACAGCGGACAGAGGATTGCCACCGAATATTGAACTAAAAACAAATTTGAACAGCAGCTGAAATTGACAGTCGCATCGCAAGGGGTGGGGCACAGGATGCCACCAAATGGGGCAACTGTGTTGCACAGTGGCCAAAGTCAAATATTTTTATCGAAAACTGAGTATTCAAATTGAATTGCAGCGTTCTTCTAGCTGAGAAAAAAGGTTCAGTTTTTGACAAAGTTAATCCCATTTTTTAATAAATTTTTAAGCGTAAAAATCACAAGTGAAATCAATTAAATAAATCAAATTATTTAACCAGGAAATGCAATGGGATCTTGGCTCAAAATATGTATGTAAATTGAACCAGTGTGCGAAACACTTTGCTCACTTTTCAGTTTCAGTTGGGGCATTGCAGCAGTGGCAAGTGTGAAGATTGCTGAACTGCTGTAGTTCCTCTGCTGCTGCTGCTGCTGCTGCTGATTCTTTTA